CGCGCTGGGTGTTTTGAGGGTCAGCAGGAATGCCCTTATGTCCGCACTGTGAGAGAGAGGAGATTGGGGCGGTAGGCAGCGGCCAGATCATGCAGCAACTGCGGAACTGGACAAGACATTTGGGTTGGAAAGAGTTAATCAGCACAGATGAATGATGTGACTTACACTGCAGAAGATCACTCTTTATCCCACCTAACAATTTCTCTTCTTATTGGTACGTTTAGATCATTTATATTTAACATAATTATTGATATAGTTGGATTAGGTCTTCCATTTTACTACTTATTTTCTATTTGTTCTTCTGTTTTTTGTTCCTCTGTTCTTCCTATCCTGCCCCCTTTTGGATTATTTGAATAGTTTTTAGTATTCCATTGAAATTATATACTAGCTTTTGCCTACATCTCTTTGTATTTTTATTTCCCTCTAGAGCTTACATATACATTACTAATCTCTCACAGTTTTCTTAGAGTTAATGTTTGACCCCTCTAAGTAAAATGTAAAAGTTTTATGACCGTATCTGTTCCTTTACTCTCCCCACTGAGGAGGGTTCGAGTTATCATATGTATTACGTCCACATACATTAGAAACCCCACTAGACAATGTTATGATTTTTGCTTCCAATATTCATACATATCTTAATTAATGAACTTAAGGGGAGAAAATAGTCTTTATTTATTCACAGCACTTATTCTCTTATATTTCTGGGACTCTCGCGAATTAGAGCTTTTGTTATTATCCCACATCTCCCTGAGACATTGCTCATTTTTAAAATACCTTTTTCCTCCCTATTGTTCAGATTGGATAATTTCTATTGATCTACCTTCGAGTTCACTCTTTTCCCCTGTCATCGCCATTTTGCTATTGATGCTACCCAACGGGTTTTCTATTTCTTTTATTGTATTTTTCAGTCTAAAGCTTCCATTTTGTTCTTTTTATCCTCCACCTCTTTGCTGAGACTTTGTATTTCCCATTACTTTTGAAAATGTCCATGATTGTTAGTTGGAACATTTTATAATAGTTTTTAAAAAGTCTTTGACAAATAATTCCAACGTCTGTGTCACCTTCGTGTTGGCATCTGTTGACTGTCTTTTCTCACAGGAGTTGAGATGTTCCTGATTCTTTGTATGCTGAGTAATTTTGGATTTTATCCTGGAAATCTTGAATATTATGTTGTAAGGCTCTGGGTGTTTAGATCCTATGGGGAATATTGACAGCTTTGTTTTAGTGGACAGCTGACGTGGTCAGGTTCAAGCTGCAAATTTCAACCCCCCATTTGTGGGCTATGGCTCCACGGTCAGTTCAGTTTTCAAAGCCTTTGTAGTGCTTTTCAGATCTATTGCAGTGCCTACCAGTGGACAGTCTGGGACCTGGGCAGTGGTCTCTTAGTCGGATTCTCAAAGTCTTTGGTATGCTGACTAAAATCAGATGTGTGCGTGCACAACTGAGAAGTGAGCACAGTTCATAAACAACTTTATGAAGTCGCTTTCCCAAGCTCCGACTTCTCCATGATCTCCTTGATACTCTTCACATTTTTGGAGCTCTCCTTTTTATTCTCCAGCCAAAAATCTGGGACTGTAGTTACCTCATTCTTCCACTCATTTTCACTACTGTGCCAAGTGTTAGGAGGACTGACGGGGGGAAAATGGTCAATTTCATATCGGTTCAGTAATACTTCAGATTTTGGTCTTCTATTTTGGTAAGACTCTGGGTTCTGTTATATTCTCCCCACGGGCTCCCCTCCACAATCTGCCTGCTTTTGTTTAATTTCAGAGTCCTCAGCTAGTTTCTTTTTGTATGTTGTTCAGAGTTTCTAATATAATCAGTTAGAAAGAAAGGCTGTGCTTGGCTTACTCCATCTTGACTGTAAGTCTGGTTTTGTTTGTCATTTTCTCAAAAATAAACAAAAAGTACTTATTGAATAAATAAATGATGAAATGAACTGCATATTTATCAAAGTCTTTTGGATCTATGCTTGAATTTTTTCCTTTGTTTCCTTCTCTCTCTCTCTCTTTTTTTTTTTTTTTTTAGTTCACCCAATGAAGCCCTTTAAAGTAGTTCTTAAAAGTATAAGTGCCACAAATGCCACCATGACCTGGAAGGTACACCCTGTTGGGAATTATTCCACATTATTGTGTCAGGTTGAACTCCACGGTGGAGGAAAAGTGATACAAGTAAGGACATTGCTTAATATTCTATTTTCAAAAATCCCTTTGTGTCCTGAACAGGGAGACTGATGAACAAAATCTCTCTAAACTCTTAGTTCTGTGTGGGTTCAAAAGGGGTCTATGAAATTCATCACAGACTTTTAGAGTTGGGAAGGGAGCCTTAGAGATTTTTTTTTTCCCCTCTAAAGAACTAGTCTTACTCCAAATCAGGATGTGCCGTGTTGTGATTTGGCTTTGCAATCAAGTATACTCACTGATATACTTCTGTCTCTTTTATCAAGCAGCACAATGTCTCCATCACGACGAATGGTCAGTACTTCTTAAGTGAACTGGAGCCCATCACACAGTATGTGACCCGAGTACGCTGTGCTGCGGCTCAGCACTTCTGGAAATGGAGTCAATGGACTCGTCAAAGCTTCACCACGCTGGAAGCTGGTATGTTCGGATCCCTGACATTTGACTCAAGGGTCTAAACTGATTCATCAGTGGTGGGTTGGCTTCCCTGAGAGCTTTTGGTTCTGAAAACTAAGGGGAAAATATTACAACAGAGGCTGGGCACTATCTTGAAGAAAAATAAATTGAATTAAATGGCTAATGAGATGTGAGTGGGAAGACATCCACTTCAAACACTTGCCATCAGTGTTATTTCTGCTGTATATTTTCTCTCTGATGTTTGATTTTGCCAAAGTGGTTTCTAAGCAGCTGGCTTTGCTGGATTCTGCTGGGTTGGGGCTTTGTAAATTAGTACGGACTTTTAACTCAGGACTGAGGACAAACACAGTGTTTGTGCCAGGGAAAGCACTCATCTCATGCCAGACAACTTTAGGCTATGTTTGGAAATGTCATGATATTTGGAAACCTACTTATTATTGATAAGTCATTTGTTTAGTAACAGCAAACCGTCAGCCCTCTCTATAATGCTCTCAGCGGTCATTTCCTCAATATTGACAGAACAGAGAGTTTTTCTCCCACATAACTATGCCTTCGAGCTCCAATCGGCCTCAGGGGATTTGATGGCCCAGCCCTGCTGTCATCTCCTTTCAATTCAAGGAAATAAAGTATCACCGTGGCCCAGTGTACAGATGAAGAAAGTTGGACCCATAGCTTAAAGAGACTTGCCTATTGAATGCAAATGAATGGCAGATACATAATAATAATCATATAATAATAATAACAACTAACATTTATTGAGTATTTAGTATGTACCAGACGTAGTTCAAAATTCTCACAGCGTTTTTCTCTTGTAATCCTCACAACATGCAATAGGTACTATTGTATTATGATCCCTACTCTGTAGATGAGGACATTGAGGCACAGAGAATAAGTAAATTAACTGGCTTGGCCAGTAAGTTCCTGGGCGGTGACTGTGCCCCACACCAGGAACTCTGACACCGGAGCTCCATTCTTAACCACAGCTGGATTCTGCGCATTCTAGTGTTGTTATCACAACGTCGAGATCTTGTTGATTCAAGTCCTGGCTATGTTACTGCCAAAGGAAGGATTATATTTATTTATTTTATATCATCTTACTGTTTGTGTTTGTGGGCTGGCAGAGCTCTTTCTGTTTCACCTGCAGAGGACCATTTTAAAGCAGTGACTCTAACTGGTGGGGAGAGAGGGCATGGCGTCAGAATCTACATGTGCGGTTGGTCACTAGTCCCACTGAGCAGGCCTCCTCGCCTTTTCTGGTGTTCCTGTCCATGCTCACACCCCTGGGACTCCAGTAATATCTCCTAAGGGTGTAGACGCTTCTAGGGTCCCTGCTGTACAAAGCCCTGTTCCTGAGAGTAATAAGGCATATTCCTCAGTTTTGTTTTCTTAGAGAATTTCTACTTTAATAATACTGCTTTGCTTTGGGTTTTCTTTTGCTTGTTTTGTGAAAATTCATTCCAACATTATAATTAACATTAAGTGCAAAAGGAAAATGTCCAAAAAGACAGAGTTTTTAGTAAATCGTGCTTATTTTAGATTATAGTGTAATACATCTGAAAATACTTAACTCTGCTTTTGATGATGACAAGAAAATGGCATGAATCTGATGGTAAATTTATAGGGTTTTGTCTTACCTCTGATAACACTTAACTTAATGCTAGAAAACTCAGTGTTTGTGATTGTCATAATCATACTTAGATATAATCATCGTGAGCAGGGTTGAAGGACACTGTTGTAGAAATTATATTGACATAAATATAGAGCACTATCAGCTGTGCTGCAGTGGTCTTTCCTTACAAATACTAATTTATAAACCAGCCTGAAATTTTGCTTTGAGCTTGTGGTTCCATATTGTGCCTTAGTTTTTCAATAAGTTTTTTATTTCCTCTTGGCTTCTCCAGTGGCTTCTTTAGCAAATTAAAATCTTCTTCAATAGATTTAAAAATTATATGGTCCCCTTTAATTTGAAGACAAAGTGGAAGCAACCAAAAGAAAAAAAAGGACGTAAATTTCAATTATTGGGGACAGTAAAGGTATATTTTTATAAAACAGAGGGTTAAATCTTTATGTGTCGTATTTCAAAAAACAATTCTTGCATAGAGATGTTTTGAATCAGATCACCAATTCCTTGTCCTACAGTTTACTGCTGAGAAAGACAAGGAAGCAAGCTCTTTTAGAACAATGTGGTGAGAACCATGTCAGGGGGAGCTGTGCAGTGGGTGCCATGAGTGTCCTCAGGCAGCTGACACAGGTCTGGCTGGGAACTGGTGGGGGAGGGACGGCGCCTTCCCAGCAGAGGGCGACGAGGAGAGGTTCCCAGGCGATGACTCCAGTGAAGGGCCAGCCGATGGGAAATGAATTTGTGGAAGAGCACGGCCTGACCTGAGTGAGGGCTGTCTGTGTGAGTGCTTCCATTGCAACCTTCTCAAATGGGGCAAGGAAGTAGCCATGGCCCGCTGCTCAAAAACTGGGAAGTTGACCTAACTGACTTACTAGAATTGGTCTGACAACTGATTCCAGAATTCTTTGGTGGCTCGCAGAAGCTCTGAGGCTTGTCGTTCATAAAGGGCTTTCAGTTTGATGTCCTGTTCAGATGCAGAAGACCTTTTGTAAGGCACCTAGTATGTGTGCCTAGTGAGGAGTGAGCAATGTGGCCACGGATAAATGGGTAGAAGCCTCAGAGAATGAAAAACTGAGAAACAGGCCTCAAAGATACTCATCATTGCTTTGTTGACCAAGCTAGAAGATGCTGGAATTCTACATACATCTGGTGACCCAACAACTTTTCTTTGGTTAATTTCAGCTCCCTCTGAGGCTCCTGATATCTGGAGAAATGTGAAGTCAATGCTGGGATCTCGTACTGTAACTTTGTTCTGGAAGGTAAGGTACACATATTCAGAAAGGCAGATTGGCTTGGCACTAAATCTTTCCCCGAGACACTAGATTTGGGTGCAGTCTTCCACCTGGGAGCGTTTGTCACATGAATCCAGCAGAATGTCTCGTCCAGTGGAGGAGATCCCAGAGCACACTGATGTCCCCCCGGTGTGCACTGTTCCTTCTCTGACAGCCCACTGCACAGATGCAGGCTCTGAATGTTAGCACCTGCAACTCTGTAACTTCTACCCAGGCCCACCTCTACCTTTTGCCTTGCTTAGCGCACAAACACTAAGTGGAGAAGTATATACCATATTTAAAGTTATGAATGTTTAAATACTCATAGTATTTATATTTTAAAGTTAGTAGTCAAGCTGAAAAACTACAATATAAAATATATGTTGTCCTTCTACCTTAACTAATATGCCTTCATGACAACCTGGAAAGTCAGCTTTGTGTTCAGAACTCTCAATTCCTCAGTGTTTGATACCAAAACATGGCCATGCTAGGAGAGTTGGACCCCAGCCACAATCCACCTCCTTTGCTTCCCCCACCTCCACTCTGGTCCTCTCTGCAAGGAGCCCTGTGCACGTATGTGCACAAGCTAGTCTGTGTGTCCAGGTTCTGGCCATGCCCCAGGCAAATGCTCACTCACAATCTGTCCTCAGGTCTAGCAGGGGGCACACACCAGGGGTGATGTCTGTCCTCGGGAGGATAGCCCTGAAAGACAGACCCTGGAAGTGGGCTTGGAACTGTGTGGGCTGGGAATTTCTGCAACCTGGAGGATCATCTAGAAGGGGGACCATGGGCTCTGGGTCTGGGGAGGGCACAGCTGGAGGAGGGAGTGAGGCCAGGAGCTGGGCCCCCCTGCTAGGGTTCAGGCACATCCTCTCCCCTGGGAACCTACTGCATCTTTTCGAATGCAGGCTGGAGTCCTCCTTTCTCTTGATTCCTGATTCGGTCACTCTTCTGTGGACACAGTCTGCTCTTGAGGAGCTCATCCCCAGTGATCCCGTCCTTAACTCAGCTTTAGTTAGCGAAGAAGACATATGTTGAACTTGGTTTAAAGGGTTGTTTTCTCTATTAAACTGTTTTAATTAGCTGGTGTGTGTGTGTGTGTGTGTGTGTGTGTGTGTGTGTGTGTGTGTGTATAAGGTGTTTGAGGGACAGAAATGATAAAAAAGTAATTTTCTCCTTTCAGAGGAAAGCCCATTCTGAAATGATTATCATTTTTTTTTCAGCCACTATCAAAATCGCAAGCCCATGGGAAGATCCTGTTTTATAATGTAGTTATAGAAAATCTAGACAAATCATCCAGTGTAAAGCTCCTCTCCATTCCTGCTCCCGCCAATGGCACAGAACTCACCCTTGACCAAAAGTGTTCTTACCAAATCCACGTCACAGCTAATAACAGTGCAGGCACTTCCCCTGCTTCTGTAATTGGCATCTCTAGAGACTCTGGAAACAGTGAGTTATGTTTTGTTTCATTTCTGTTCTCTAGGAAAATGTCGGTGATGTTATTAGGTAGAGATGAATAAATTGGAAAGACAATAACTTGGGGAGACCAAATGTCTAGCTACCTATCAGTGTTAGTCATTCTCTTTTGGTCCAGGTGAGTCAGTGCGTTTCCTGAGACAGCCCTCAGGGTGGGAAAATGAGATTTCAGCCATCGCTCAGGACATTTCTGCCCAGGACATTCTTCAGCAAACTTCGGAAATGATGTCAAATTTACTCAAATAACTGCAACAGTAACAAAGAGTCTTAACTGAGAGAGAGAGCTGGTATGAATGTGCTTTGTGGCTAAGGAAATAAGAGTTGCTTTTATTATATTGTAAAATATATTGTCATTCTTTGCTCCTCTAGAAAGAGCTCATGCACATTTCTAGAGATCATAAGGAGAACTGGCATCATCTTTCAAGAGGGTCTTTGCGAAAGCTCTAGAATAAAAGCTGGCTAATTAATCCCTTAGCCTGTGAAAGAGCAAATCAGGTGGAAATGCCTTTGCACATAAAATCAGTGGTGATATTCATTTCCTTCTAGGGAGAGCTGTGAAGAGAGCTTGGATGCACTAAATCCCCGCAGGAACTCACTATGAGACAATGCACAGTGAACGTAATACAGTTGACATCTGAGGTCATTCATGAGCCTTACAATAATGCCACCCTTCAGTTACTGTAATTAAGTTTTTCTTACCCTGCTTATGTCAGGTGGTGTTATACCTGTCGTTCACGTTAGGCTTAAATTGGGGTTAAGTGGGCCAGACTAGAGGGTATTGTTGCTTTGTTTTATTTTAATTTTAAGAATTATTTTTTGTGTCAGCTAAGGAAAAGACATTAGGATAGTGGCACAGAAGAAAACTAAGGTGTTATTGTTAACATAACCTTTGCTTGTGAAGAGCTGTATTAGGGCAGGAAATCGCTGGTTGTAACCTGTCTTCATTGGGACCAGAACAGAAAGCTCTGGGAGAGCTGGGGGATGAAAGAAAGACTGCCCCACACGAGGCCCCGTCCAAACAACACTGCAAACCGCTCTGATCTGTTTTAGGGTCTCCTCCAGGCGTGGGTTCCTCCCATAGCTTCCGTCTCTGTGCTCTGCCTTCAGGCCCCCTTACCTGACCCGTGAGGCCCTCTCTAGCCTTCCTGAACTGGTCACATGCTTAAGTCACTAGAGCGGATAAAGTCACTGATATGTTATGAGACAGGCCTAGGAGGTTAAGACAACTTATACCTCTCCCTGCACTCCTCAAAACATATTTGCAATTTTAAAGAAGCAGCTAGATAAAGAGTTATGATTCTAAGTTCAGGGTGAAATTTTAGTCAGCGTGATTAAGCGAAGTGAAAAATGTCACGTAGACATGTGTTCCTTTGATGGAGGAGGGGAGGGAAGCCATGCAGGTAGGATATACAAAGGCCTTCTTGGGGATCCCTCTGCCTTCTACCTAGGACTGCACATTCCTTTAGATAACCCCAAAAGCTGCATGATAGCTCAGTGTCCAGAAAATAAAAAAAGTGCCGTGCTTTCACGTTAATGTTTAGTGATAATTATGGTTGCCAAATAAAATACAGGATGCCCCGTTGAATTTGAACTGCAGAGAAATATGGAGTCAATGTTTGGTGTAAGTCTGTACGATGCAATCTTTGGTCCTCATGGGTTGGTTTTCTGAGCAGCTGCTCGTGGGCCCGCTCTCTGATGAGGGTGCGCTTTCACTTGAGCGACCTGCTGAGACCACAGCCCTATTAACAATGGCAGGATGTGAAGTGAGCCCTGGGAAGTCGGAGACATCCTCATCCCTCAAGATCTAGGGCGACTCCCCACAACTAAGATTGAAGGACAACAACTTGACTTGGAGCTGATGGGTCCTGGGAAAATCATACTGTTGCCCAATAAAGTTAAAAAAAAAAAAAAGACCATATCACCTTTTTGCCAACTGTCAGACCTTACGAAAACTACACTGGCATATAAAACATGTTGAGGCGGCAGCCTTGGTGCTAAGTAGTGTGTACATCCTTGTGTAAGGCAACTTTGTACCTATGTGACTTGTATTTTTGTCCTCACCACGATTTCTACCCCTGACATCTCATCTCAGAAACAGCAGTTAGCTCAGGAGCAGCCAGCATTACATACGTGACGGAGTTCAGCGCCATTATCTGTTCATTCCACAGATTAAGTGCCACACATGGTTCTAGGTCAAGGGGCAGCAACTTTTTTTGGTAAAAGGGCAGATAGTAAGTATCATAAGCTTTGAAGGTCATACAGTCTCCATTACATATTCAATATTCTTTGTTTGTTTGTTACAACTCCTTACACATCTTAAAACCATTCTTAGCTCAAGCGTCCTATAAAAACAAGCCTCGGAGGCTGGATTTGAACTGTGGCGGTAGTTTGCTGATCGCTGGTGCTGGAGTCCGGTTGGGTCTGAGGAGGTCAGGACAAGGGACATCTGAAGGGCAGATGTGACTACTTCGTGGGAAGTGAGAGGCAGGAAAACACCTATGCAAGCATTTCACCTCCCCCACCCCGAGCCCCTGTAGTGACTGAAGTCAGGGGCTTCTACCTGTTGGATACACTGCATGTTCAAGTTTATTTTGTTCTTTAGATACTTTTACAAAATGTTCACTTAGCTAAATCTGAAACACTGCCCTATTTGCAATGTACAGAAAAGGTGGAAGAAAGAAGAATTCAAGGCACAGAGGATGGATTCTCTTTGTCTTGGAAACCCCAATCTGGAGATGTCATAGGCTACGTTGTGGACTGGTGTGACTATCCCCAGGATCCAAGCTGTCCTCTCCAGTGGAAAAACCTGGGCCCCAATACCACAAGCACAGTCATTCGCTCAGGTAAGAAAAACCTTCCATATCACCATCTCGCTCCATCCACCTTGCAGCAAGTTCAACTAGGATGTCTAGACCATCTCAAAGATACTTTGTGATAAACTCATAATTTTGAAATTATAAATCCAGCATGAGTGCTAGAATTTCAAATTTTGCAATGAGATTTGGCCTGAGATTTGACCTTAAATCTCTTTGACAGACAATATCTGGACCTCAGGCTGGGATAGGGTTTCATGATTTTCATGAATTTATTCCTCTAAATTAGTGGTCTCCAATGAATGGCAGAGGGACATTCTAACAGTTTCCAGAGAGCTTTTACAAAACAAAGACGTGTATGGATTTGGGAGGTGGTTAGGAAATAGTGTTGATGGGAGTGGATAATCAGCTCCTACAGTTTCAATGGAACATAGGGAACTTGGTCCCTTACCTCCCACACTGGATTTGTAATTTCGAGATTGCTATTTTAGAAAAATCAAAGGAGCCTAGGTTTGTAGCTTGAACCGGGGGACTCGTGGCGCCATCTGCTGGGCTCAAAGATGTGGGACTTGTCTGAGTCCAGAAGGTGACAGAGGCCTCTGGAGGGCATTGTTGTCCTTAGGAAGTGAGGAGGTGAGGACATGTCAGTGGCATGGTGGGTGCTGCAGGTGGATTGCAGAGGTGCAGCTGTGAGGGGAAAGTGAGGAAGTGGCAGCAAATCCTTTCAGACTCTTGGCTTTCATGAGCAGAGAGAAGGCAAGTCGCTGGAGAGGGATTTGGAGTCAAAGGAGAGTTTATAATGGTTTTCTGTGTCTGGTCGAACTCTTCACCCAGTTTCATGCACATGGTTAAGGGCACGTTTGAGAGCTCTTCTTCCAGAGGACGAGTTAGAGGCCGGTTCCCACAGGCTTCCTCAGGAACAACGGAGGACTCAGCGGAAGGAGGAAGACGGTGGAAAGGAAGTGCAGAAACCCAGAGAAGGAAACTATTAAAGGGACACACATTCAGTTTTCCTTCTTTTCCTTTTCCGAAGTAAAGAGAATCTCATCCTGTGTTGTTGAAAATCTGTTGACTTTTCTTCTTTAGATGCTTTTAGACCAGGGGTCCGATACAACTTCAGGATTTATGAAATTTCTACAGAAAGGATCGCTTATTTATTAGAGAAAAAAACAGGATACTCCCAGGAACTGGGTAAGTTTAAAGCACTTCTTGTGTTCATGGGCAGACTTGTTCAGAACAATCCAGAGACACTTAGCTTTGGGTGTAGGACGATTTCAACACCTTTCCTAATTTTCAATGTCCCATATATTCTGGAAATTGGGTTTTAGAAAATTATTTTTTAACATTTTCATTGAAGACAATGTATAAAGTTTTATGCAAAAGAAGACAAAATTCTTGCTAGTTTTACCAACCCAAGGCAAATATCTACTTGGATAACTTTGCATTCAACCTGGGAACTAGACTTCTTCAAACCTGCCCTTACCTCTTTGAACATAACCTTCCTCCTCCTCCTCTCCCCTCCCCCAGTCCATTCTCTAGTCAGGTCTTCTCTCAAACACTACAGTTGACCCTTGAACAATGCAAGGGTTAGGGGTACCAACCTTTGCACAGTTGAAAATCCACATATAACTCTAGACTCCCCCTAAACTTACCTATAGTCGTTGCTCAGCATCCACAGGGGGTTGGTTCCAGGACCGCTGCAGAAACCAAAATCCACGATGCTCAAGTCCCTTATCTAACATGGTGTAGAACAGTGCACACAGCCGGCCCTCTGCACCTGTGAGTTCAACCAACCACAGATGGAAAACAAGTGGTTTTTCATCCTTGGTTGGGTATCCATGGATGCAAAAGCCGGTAATGCAGAGGGCCAACTGTGTATTTATTGAAAAAAAAATCCACGTGTAAGTGGACTCATGCAGTTCAAATCGTGTTGTTCGAGGGTCAACTATTTCGAACTGCGGGACAGAAGGAAACCTAAAAAGGCCTTTATTCTCTTTTTTGCTGTGTGACCTGTGTAAGCTACTGGGTCTCTCTGGACATCCCTTTCCTTATCTGGGAAAGGCAAGGCTTGAACAAGATTGCTCAACTTCTTCCCAGCTCTCTCAGACTACATGTCTCCCCTGGCGAAAACGATAAAATTCCTTAACTTGTCACAGGCTCCTCCAGCCTCTGGAGTTGGCTGTGGTTCTACTTTTAGTTTACATGAATGCTCAGAGACTATTTCCAAATCATGACTTTTCTTATCTCAACTTCCTTTCCTAGCTCCTTCCAACAACCCTCAAGTGACCATCAGTAACTTGACATCGCACTCCTTCATCCTGAATTGGAAGGATTACTCTACCGACTCCCAATCCGGTTTTATCCAAGGGTACTACGTCTACCTGAAGCACACGGCAGAGCAGTGCCACCCAGGATTCGAAAAGGCGGTCCTTTCAGGTGACGCTTTTTCGTTATCTCATTCCTTCCAGATCTTATTATTCTAAATCATGGAAAAGGCTGCCACGTCTGACTGTGGCCACGCTGAATTCTATTCTTGCATGCTTTTATGATCAAACAGGTGCTGAAACTAAATGAGTAGGTGGACAAGATGGTGGCGGTTGGTATTTGAACTGACTGAAAAAAACAATACGGCCTGGTATTTTTAGAAGCACTTGAAGTACTAGCATGTCCTTAAGAAAACCTGCCGCTTAAGACACTTTCTTGCTCACCGGTGTTTCTTTTTTTCCTTGGACGTTGTTAAAGGTTATTGCAATGCGTTTTTTAGTCTCTTGCAAGCACTTACTGTCTCTGGCAGATCTTCCTGGATCACCAACATCTTTTGCTTAGTACACTTTTTTTGCTTTCCTTGCCATCCTTGAGAATTTTACCAATGTCCGCGGTGTGATGAAATGATGATGTAATTTTTGCTTTGTTTAAAACTGTTGACAGTGCTGAGTCAAGAAGAATGTCAGTGTCCAGCTCTCTCACAAGATCTCTATCACACACTTAATAATTTTTTCTTCATGTTAAAATAAAAACCTTTTTTTTTTTTTTTATAAAAAACCACAGATGATTCAGTATGTTGCAAATATAACATCGACAATGCGGAACAAAAGACGTTTGTTGTGGAAAACGTACAGCCGGAATCCTTCTATGAGTTTTTAGTCACTTCTTACACAAGTGTTGGCGAAGGCCTCCATGACACTTTCACCAAGGTCACTATTCCAGATGAATACTGTGAGTTTTTTCAAATCAAAAGTCTTCTCTTAGGAGCTCCTGGGAAACTGACAGATTACATACACATTGCTGTGGGCTTTGTCTAGATCAGGAATTTTTAAACCTTTCTTTCCTGTCTTTCTGTCTCTGTCTGTCTGTCTCTTATTCTTTAAATGAGACTGTTTCACACACACACAAAAAAAATGTTGTACAGAATTCTACTACATAAAACAGATACGAATGGGGCTAATCTGCCTGATGTATGGCCTGGAACCTTCCTCCTGCCTCTCTCAGTGGCCTCTGAGGCACTTTTCTGGAACTCAGTCCCAGAATAGTGTGAAAATCACAGGCAGCGTATTTTGGTGTTGGCTTGGAAGAGCCAAGAGATTTCTGTCTAGAGAAGGGTGGTGGTGTTTTTCTCAGCAGGATGGCTCTCTGCTGCCAGCTTTCTGGCTGGCTTCCTTCAGGGGCACACTCATTGCTTCCTGACTGCCTCTCTGGGGTGGGTTAGAGATGGGTGTGATGGGGCCAGAGGGCTTTGTTCACAAACCCGGCATTTGCAGGGTTGGTGGGGAAAGGGTGAGATAAGACATCCATATTTTCAAAATGCCTTTGGCCTGAAAGGCGAAGAAAGAAGAGGAAAGGAGAAAGATGGCAGGAACTGGTTAATGGTAAATAAGGTTCTCCTGGTAAACCCTGACCTGCCATGAACAGGAAAGTGGGGGAGAAAATAGATACTGATGGAGGGAAAAGGAGAAAAGTAGGTATCAAACAGGGGAACATAGAAGGTCCACACTGGAAGGAAACTTTGAAGATACTGCTCCGTGAATAACAAATAGGCTAAAATATAGTCTGCCTGAAGTCACCAACTGTCCTCAGTGTGGGGTCCCTTTGCTGAAGATGGGAATATAGGGAAGGGCTGGGCTCATCAGGCAGAACCGCTGACCCTGGGTGCCCTGACCAGCGATGAGGACACACATGACTACAGTGGCAGCTTGAGGCACTCACTGCTGTTCATCACTAGACTGAAACATGGTCCCAGGTCTCTCAGCCAAAGGCCAGAGCTCTCATAGTTAGATTAAGATTTCAGTCAATGATTCACATTATTTGAGCACTCTTGGCATTTTGGAGTTAATTTTAAATTCACTTTCATGCTATTTTTCTCCTTTCTTGGTATTTATTTGGCTGGTAGAAGGTGTGTGTGTGTGTGTGTGTGTGTGTGTGTGTGTGTGTGTAATATATACATACAATTATCTTTATCACGAGTATATTTTCTGATTTCATTCATTTATCTCCCTTATTCGTGCTAAACCTCCTTAGCCTTGGCTGTGACTCTGCTGATTATATTGATCATTGTGAAAAAGGAAAACAAATTGCTGCATAATTGCAGTAATGAGAATGACATTCTTCAGTTACAAAAATATGGGAGAATCACAGATGCGATGCTGGGTGACAGAAGCCAGACCTGACTCTTGCTGTCTGATTCCATTTATAGAGAACAGAAAGAGGCAAATGACATTTATGTTGTTAAAAGACAAGATAGTGGTTACCTTGGGAGGCAACCCGACTGCATGGGGGCTCCGGAGGAGTGTCCTAGGGAGCTGGTAATGTTTTTCCACGGCTGGGGTACTGGTTACAATGGCTGTGCTCAGTTTCTGAAAGGAAAATTCACTCAGCCGTACACTTCTGAGCCCCTTTCTATATGCATATACAGTAAAACCTTGGATTGCGAGTAACGTGGTTTGCAAGTGTTCTGAAAGAGGAGCAAACATTTCTAATACATTTTAACTTGGTAAACAAGCGATGTCTTGCAATACGAGTAGTTTGTTTCTGGAACAAATTATGCTCACCAACCAAGGTATTACTGTATTATACTTCAGTAAAGAGTTTAGTGAACCTATCTGAACTTTGGAAACTACTATGGTTAGCTCTCCAGGCTTGTCCTTGAATACATTATAAAAATACATAATTTAGCCAAATGTTGAAACCAATTGTAGTCATCAGAAGTACTGATCTTGGTATCAGCACAGGAGTTTCTTACCCTTCCCCAGGCATCAGGGTTCATTTGAGACCAATTGTTGAGGTGCTTGCTTTGCCATCCTCTGACCTTGCCTTACCTCTTACATCCTTTTCTCCAGTGCCCTGTGCTGCCTCATAGCATTACCCAGGCCTGCCCCCCTTAGAAATCTCCAGCATTATCTAACAGACACACACACACACACACACACACACACACACACACACACACATCAAACCCCATTCCATAAGGACAGTGAGTGTGGGGGCTGGGGAGTGGGGAAGGCAGGGAAGCACATGCATTGAACAGAATATGCGTACATGTGAATGGCAGCCTCCAAACTCTCCCTGTGCAATTTGCATTTTATTTCTGAGAAATAAAAATAGAATAATTATCCCAGGTTAAGATTTATTCATTATATTAGAAACTAGAGGGATACATTAGTCAGTTTTTGATATGTAACGAAATACCTCAAAATGTCAGTGGCATACAAAAACAGGTTTGTTTGTTTTTTGTTTTTGTTTTCTTTTTGCTCATGGCTTGGCTGATCTAGGCTGGGCCAGGCTAGGCACCAGGCTTTGGTCAAATCTAAGTTTGTTTCACATAGCTTCACTCGGGGGCTCAGGCTGAAGGGGCAGTAGCTATGAGGGACAAACTCTTCTCACAGCGGATCCCAGGAGCACAAGAGGGCAAGCAAACCTTGCAGACGCACTGCAAGCAGCTACTAACATTGTAATTGCTAACATCCCACTGGCCAAACCAAGTCACATGGCTAGCGAAGTGCACTGCACCTACCATAACGCTTTGGCAAGAACGTGGAGTGTAATTCTAATACAGCAGGGAGTGAAGCGTGGCGGTAATAATTAATCAGTCAGGAGAAGAAACGAGTTGAAGTCACAAGTGTTGAAGACAAATGGTTCCCTGTGTTGGCTGGTTGGTTGTTTTTTACTCCCTTCAGTCAGGCAGAATTCTTGTTGAATCTCGTGTAAATAGACTTTTGAGGAATAAAAAACATGTAAAATTACTCTCAACCTGAAACTTATTTTTATTCCTTTGAGGAGGGAAAACTACTCATTCAAAATATCCCCTTCTTTTTCCTTCCGCAGCCCACGTACTGATCCGTATCATAGTCCCCATGATTTTCTGCCTTGTGCTCTTCATGGTCGTGTGTTACTTAATGAGTCAATGGTAAGTGTGTGGGGGAGATTATCCAAGGAGGCAGTCAGAGAAAAGTCTAGGAATGAATGTAATAAAATAGAAATCACACTGAATGATATGAAGAAAAAGTGCTCAAAAGGAAGAGGAAGAGGAGGGAGCCTTTAAAGAAAATATGACAAGTTTTTAAACAGTTTTGCTTAAAGGAAAACAACTATTTCAAAAGATTGCAAAACTTGCTTCAATAACAATAGCTAATATTTATATTTCACTTACCATGTGCTTGACATTGTTCTAAGTGCTTTACATGTAACAGCTCATTCAATCCTCACAACACTGCCATAAGAACAGTAATGATCTCCACTGAGCTGATGAGGAAATTAAAGCATAGAAGCGTTCATTTAAGTAGCTTGCCGAGCGTCACAGTTAGCAAGCCATAGAGCAAGGGTTAGAGCCCGGGACTCTGCCTCCAGGGTTCTCAACTCTTAACTATTCCGCCATATTGCAAAATTCAGTCTCATGTTCACTGTTTTTCTAGGATGAAGGACAAGTGTTATCCTGACATTCCAGACCCTTACAAGAGCAGTGTCCTGTCATTAATAAAATACAAGGTAAATGTTGGGAAGTTGTATGGACCCCATATACCTGTTAAATTCTAATCCAGGGTGAGGGCTGTGATAATGACACTCTCCTAGACTTCTTCAGGAAGGTATAGGAGAGCAAAGCCACCTCTGTTCCCATAGCCTTGAAATGGGTGAATGGAGCTTTGATTTCTGCTGTCAGGGGAAACCCTTTGGTTTTCAACACCATGGCCAGTTAACATGTGACCAGAATGAAACATGAGAAAAACGGAAGCTCTAAGTCCATTTCACACACTTAACTACCCTGATATACACACACATTATATTTACATATTTTTTTGTTTCTGCTCCAGGAGAGTCATCACCCAACAATAATGAAAGTCAATGATTGCATCCCAGATGCTATTGAAGTTGTAAACAAGCTGGAAGGGAGTAAGATACAGTTCTTAGGTGCTAGGAAGTCACTCACAGAAACAGAGTTGACTAAGCCTGCCTACCTTTACGTCCTCCCAGCAGAGAACTACTCCGGCCCCAGCCCCTTCATCTGTTTTGAGAACTTTACCTATAACCAAGCAGCTTCTGACTCTGGTTCTTGTGGCCATGTACCTAAACGCCCCACAACCCCACCAAGTCAGCTGGCACTATTGACTTCATCTGAAAATTTACTCAAGTCCCTAGAGCAAAACTATATGAACTCCTTGGGAGAAAGCCCAGCTGGAGAAACTAGTTTGAATTATGTGTCCCAGTTGGCTTCACCCATGTCTGGAGACAAGGACAGTCTTCCAACAAATCCACCAGGGCCAGCACTCGGTTCCGAGTACAGAATGCAAATGGCTGTAACCCTGGGTCTTGCCTCACCTTCCCCGAGTGAGAACAGCAGCCTCTCGGTTACCCTTTTAGACCAAGGTGAACACTGCCGCTAATCGTGTACCCATTTCCTGCCTTTATGCTACATAGACACCAAGGGAAGTACAGCCGGCACCGTTCTACCACCAGATGACTTGGTGCTTCATCCCAGTGAGCTATCACCACTGGCCGGTCTGATTCATATAAGACCACTATCTTGCTAGGTTTCAAAGTTCAGAAGCTCTGAAACTTAATATCCTTCCTTGGAGCAGGCTTGCTGTAGAAATGGCGGGATCGTGGGAACAGGCTCCCTTGCTGCGGTGTGTTCTAGGCTCACCTTCATAACTGCCACCCTGGCACTTGACATGGGAATGGATTCCCATCCACACAGTACTGGACAGGGTGGCTATGGTCCTACCAGGTCAGCCTTTAGCTGAGAAATTATTTCCATTAAGCTTTACGCCCACGTTTACTGTATTAAGGGTAAAGGAAGCAGACTTAAGACTTTAATAAAGGCCACAGAAGATGTGTCACTAGAGCAGAGATTGTCGGTGATAATTTATTCTGAATGTATGTAATGAAAAGTCACAGATGTTTGAGACCAAAACAGATGTTAACCTCATCCTGCAGTAATAAGAATTGGGAGTTCATTGGTACCATAAAATTAACTCTTCTGGGGCACAGACCTTGTCTAATAGGTAAGATGTGAATGAATCAGTAAGACGCCCACAATTGTCATTTTATCTAGTTTACCACAGTTAGAGTGGGTTTGGCAAGGAACTCCTGACTTAGTGTCAAGTTAAGCACACTCCTACTTAGATACCAGGCTTCTACCATAATTTTTGATGACTACCTCAGATAGAAAAAGGAAAGTATATCATTGAGTAATTCCATTCACATTTTATGGTTGCTCTCTTATTTCAAGAACTACAACATATAAATGATCTGTTTTCATTTAGCATCCTTTGAACTCTACAATAAGTTGTTTTGAATCAAGATAACACCCTGATTTATATTCCTGTTATGGTAATGTGACAGATAAAATTAAAACACATTGTTGGGCATTGTCTAGAATAATCAAAAGCTATCTGGAGTGGATACATTCTGTTTTGGCTCGGCAGCAGCTTTGTCTCCTTGAGCATATATGCAAAGCACCTGGTGTATAATAGGTGCTCAATACATGTTAGTTCCTTTCTCCTCCTTCTGCCCAACCCTAAATGTTTATTAACCACCTTTCTAAACAAGCACAAATGGTGGTTCCTCTTTGTTTGCTGTGGTGGACATGACACTGCCTGTGACTTTGGTACCAAATGCTCTGCACTGTGCCATCAACACTAAGAAGAGAGGAAGGGCAGGACCCACACCTCAAAGTAAGGGGGCTGTCATCTGGCCTAGACAAACCAGGACTTCTGTTCAAAAGGCCTTTCAACCTTTTCCTTACATACATCTAAGCCTTTTGCTAGGAAAATTGGTTATGAAAACCTAACATAGTACAAACGAGTATCTTGATTAGTGTAATAGTTTCAAGAAGACTTTGGGGCCAGTATTGTCACCACTTATCCTCTTTGTGTTCCTTTGTCATGCATGATGCAATTATGAATGTACACAGAAATGTCAATAACAGTGATGACTGATTTGTAAATAGTATCCTTCATATAGATTTTCTTTGAAAAATAATCCATAAAACCTTGAAGTCATTTTTGTTGCAACAAGCCTTAATTAAAATATTTTACCAGTGCATTATTTTGTGTGTTTTCTCTGCCTCAGTGAAATGAAAATCTAACAATTAGTATAGCCGATAAATCACCTCATGAGCTTACTAAAAATGTAAATGTCTGGGTACCATTCCAAACCTCCTAATCAGAATCTCTGTGGCACAAGGCCTGGAATCCATATATTTCATCAGGCATTCAGATGCACACTCAACTTGGAGAATCACTGGCCTAAGTCAAATGAAGACATCTTTCTGAAATATAACAGCACACCAGTAGGAAATGCTAGATTACATAACTCTGTGCTTATGGTATCACTCTAACTATAGCTTTGGCTATAGACATTCCTCTCACATATTCATAACAACCAAATAAATTAGTATTTATACCTTAATTTTTAGTACTATACACAACCTTAACTGCATTGTTTTAAGGAGTGTTATTCAGAAACTCAGAAATTTGTATTCATGTATCAATAGAATTATTAGGATTAAAAAAAAAAAACTCATGGAAAATTTCAAATATTCACGCAAGTCAAATAGTTTAGTGAACCCCTATGTACTGCCATCAGCCCCAACAGCTACCAACCCATGGCTGTTTCAGACCATTCATACCCTTATTCACTCCCCCTCCTGATATTATTTTAAGGCAAATCCTATGATTTCATCTGTAAATATTTGTTTCTCTAAATGAGTTTTGCTTTTCCTAACATAGCCATAATACCCCTTTTTAAAAAATCACACTTAAAAAAAATTAAAAAGAAGAAATTATACCTAAATTCAAATTAGTAATAATTCCTTAGAAATATCAGGATATTTTGATGGGGCAGGACTGGCATTAGTGACCTATAAATACCTCATGGGCCTGGAGACCAGTCCTTAGCTGTGTGTAGTGTATCAGGATGGTTCAGGCTGGGAGCAGGGACTTAGTCACACCACAGAGCCATGGCCCCTGCTGACATTCTAACACCTGACTCACACTAATTCGAGTGAAACTGCTTCTCCACTAGAATTAGACAACATGTAATATTTGTCCTAAGAGCTCTATGGAAAGATAAGCTGGCTTTCATCTCTAAGAATTTACAAAACATATTAAACATTTTGCACAAAGCAGAACTTTAAAAGCCCTTGAAGAGATACAACAGAAAAATAAAAAGCCTTCAGAATTAGCAGTTAAAAGGATATATACAACACAATAACTAAGCATATTCAATTTAAAGGACTAAGCAAATAGAGTTTTCTTAGTCTTCTGTAAGCCTTAAAGAAACAAAATGTTAGTATATTTTGGTTTCATTTTTTTTTTTTTGAAATCAGTACTAAAGTAGTTGTTATGGTCTGAATGATTATTCCCCCAAAATTTGTATGTTGAAATCCTACCCCCAAAGATGATGGTATTGGTGGGTGGGGCCTTTGGGAGGTGATTAGGTCATGAGGCTGGAGGCCTCATGAATGGGATTAATGTTTATATGAGACCCTAGGAAGCTGCCCAGTCCCTTCCACCACGTGAGGACATAAGAAGTCTGGACTCGGAAGAGCGCCCTCACCTGACCATGCTGGCACTCTGATCTTGGACTTCCAGCCCACAGAACTGTGAAAAATATATTTCTGTTGTTTATAAGCTACCCAGTCTGTGGTATTTTGTTATTGCAGTCCAAAGGGACTAAGATAGTATTTTATTTTTGAATCTTTTTGTACATCAAAGAATTTTTTAAAAATGAAACAAGCTTTCTAAAGTTGTTATCATATTTTTCAAAGATCAGCCATATGATGATTAACTGTACTTTTTAGTTTATTTGGGGGCCTACTGTTTTTGTTGAATGACATACATATATAGTGGAAGGCAATAGGGAAATGATATACAGAAATGTGCTTAAAGACAAAAATATCCAAAACAAATCTATTTCTAAAAATGGGATACACATTTTACCACATTTAAGCAACTATAATGGACCCTAACTTTGACATTGAATTTTATTCTTCGAGCTAGGTAATTTCCTTTGTGGTATTTTCTTTTGCCACTAGGTGGTTGTAGCTTACCCTATCTGATCAGGTCAGTTTCTACCTGAGAAATCAAATACATTCCACAGAAATTACATCATCATCATTTGTATTGTATATTAATTCTTCAAAAAGTTAGAATTTTTCTGTCTGATGATTGGTCCATTTTTCCAAACCCTTGATAGTGATTTGAGGTTGAAAAAAGAACTGTACAGGTATGTGTTTTAGATTATGACGTATGTTTAAGAAAATGCAAATAGTTATTTTAAAACATTTGGAAGAAACTATTAATGTGTTACTGAACTAGATTATTATCTGTGGTAACTAAAAGTTACTTTTATTGGGAAGAACATATATCAGCCTCAGTGGTACATTATTAAAATCAACATAGATGATTTTAAAACTTCAAATAGGGAGTTCCAGTTAAGATGGCAGAGTACGTAAATGCTGTGCTCACCTTCTCTCATGACCACATCAAAATTATAACTTAACTGTAAAACAACCATCATGGAGAATCACCTGAAATCTTACTGAATTAAAGACTTACTGAACTAAGTACCTAAAGAAGAAGCCACCTCAAGACTGGCAGGACGGGCAGAGATGCAAAACAGGCTGGTCCACATCGGTGTGTGACCATTAAAAATTGGGAGGGTTATCTAGCTGCAGAGGTTGTCCCCCCTCCTCACCCCTCCCCCACCACCCTGAAGGAGCAAGTGGTCCCAGCCCCACACCAGGCTCCCCAGCCCAGGGTTTCAGTGCCAGGGAGAGAAGTCCCCATAATGTCTGGTTGTGAAACCAGGGGAGATTGTGGCTGAGATGGAGGGCGGCTGCAGTCCCAGGCGCTTCTCTTTAAGGACCATGCATGGACTTATTCACTGACAGAATCACTGGCTCTGAGATCCTGAGCTGGTGTAGCAGCTGGAGAGGCGACAGGAACATTCAGGATGAAACTGAGTTGTCTGGCTTAGGATGAGAGCTAAAGGAACAGCCTTCCCCCAGACACAGGAGCTGGCAGAAGTCATTGCTTTTTGTTTAGCCCTCCCCCTTCCCAGCGTGCAGATGCAGGTGGCCGTCATGTCTGGGTCTCCATCAAACCTGGCTAATACCATTCACTCACCACACCCTGATGATTCTGAGACCCCACCCCACCCAACTTTCAGGCACACCCAAGCCACTTCCAGTGGCTTTTTCATACAAACCGCCTGTCTTGGCTCATGCTGCAGATGTTCCTAGAGTCTTTCAAAGTTTTGTGGAACACAAGCAAGACAAGCAACATCTGGCTTGAGCATGTTCAGTGCCTCTGGCTGAGCAGCCCTAACTAAGCCCAGCACTAGTGGCAGCCAGCCTTGGTTTACAGCTTAACCTCTCAAGGCACTTACAAACATGATGCAGGTGGCAGCCATCTTCAGATTGCTTTGTGGCTCCTGCTGGGTGGCCCCGGGTGGATCACAGGCTGCAGCTGAACTTAACCATCAGCAGGTCCCATCCCAGGTGGCCCTGGTGCACCCAGTGGCCAGCATCAAAACGAGCCAGAGCATCACCCAGCTGCCTCCAAGGACAACACATTCAAGAGGCAGATTGGGCAGGCACCAGAGCACTGCTGAGGCAGATCTTGCTCTGTAGGGTCAGGCCCTGTACTACAACTCCTCCACTGTAGTCACAGTCAGTCCTCACAACCAATAAGCCTGAGGGTCAGTGCCTCCCACTGGTAAGCAAACAGCAAACAAGGCTAAACAACAACAGGAGGGCACACACAACCCATACAAGAGACACACCTGGAGTGTACGGCTCATGTGACCTGGAAGACTGCACCACTGAACCTCACAGCAAATCTACATAATTCCACTCTACTAAGACTGGGAGACATAGCATCCCTACCTAATACATAGTAACAAACACAGGGAGGCAGCCAAAATGGGGAGACAAAGAAACATGTCCCAATAAAAGAACAGAGCAAAGCTCCAGAAAGAACTAAACAAAATGGAGACAAGCAACTTATCAGATGCAGAGTTCCAAACACTTGTTATAAGAATGTTCAGTGATCTCAGGAAGAACTTCAACAAAGAAATAGGAAACATTAAAATGGAGATAGAAAACTAAAAAAGAACCAGTCAGAAATAAAGACTACAATAACAGAAATGAAGAATACATTACAGGGGATCAACAGACTAGATGAAGCAGAGGATCCAATCAGCAATTTAGAAGATAAGGTAGCAGAAAGCACCCAATCAGAACAGCAAAAAGAAAAAAAAGAATCCAAGAAAAGTGAGGAGACTTTAAGGGGCCTCTGGCACAACATTAAGTGTACCAACATTTACATTATAGGGGCACCAGAAGACGAAGACAGGGAGCAAGGAATTGAAAACCTATTTGAAGAAATAATGATGGAAAACTTCCCTAACCTGGTAAAGGAAATAGACATACAAGCCCAGGAAGTGCAGAGAGTCCCAAACAAGATGAACCCAAAGAGACCAACACCAAGACACATCATAATTAAAATGCCAAAGGTTAAGGACAAAGAGTGAATCTTAAAAGAAAAGCAGTTAGTTACTTAACAGGTGGGCTTCCATAAGACTATCAGCTGATTTACCAACAGAAACTTTGTAGGCCAGAAGGGATTGGCAGGAAATATTCAGTGATGAGAAGTAAGGACCTACAACCACAATTGCTCTACCCTGCAAAGCTATTATTTAGAATCTGAGGACAGAGATCCAAGATGGTGGAGTAAACACTGTGCTTGCATTCTTACATGAACACTTTAAAATTACAACCAAATTATATAACAATCAACCTGGAGAACCGTCTGAAGTCTAGCTGAACAGAAGTCCTATAACTAAAAATATAAAGCAGCAGCCATGTCGAGACTGGTAAAAGGGGCAGTTTTAATTGTGGAACCTGTGTGTGGTGGTTGAGAATCAGGAGGGATACCTAGGTTGCTTTGGTTCTCTCCGGAGGAGCTAGGGATCCCAGCCCCCCACACCAGGCTCCCCAGCCTGGAGTACTGGTGGTGAGAAGAGGAGCCCCCACATCT